TTGTTCGATGGCATAAACCAAATATGTAATCAATATGTAGCGAACCAAAAAAACTCTGCAAGAAAAGAAAAGTGACAGAAGAAGAGAAAAATTAAAAAATTAAAACTAATTGTTCATAGAACAATTGAAGGTCCAAAAATACATGGTTTGTATATATCTTCTGTCGGTTTTGAAAATGAAAGAAAAGTGAAAGGTCAAACAGAGTGAGATTATACAGCGCAATAACTGATACACAAGGTCACTTCCGGCTGACTTTGTCAATGGCATATGTCTTTCAAAATTTAACAAAATATTCCATGGCTTTATCATTTATAGATATGAAGTAATATAGCGATTCTACCTGACGATATCGGGATATGGGTACTTAGTCAAATCTTAACCGGAAACTGTCATAAAATTAAAAAACCGGCACAGATAAAAAAAAATGTCAAAATGTTCAGGCTTTAATTGGGTAAGTTGATGCAAGCATACGATTTGTATTGTTTCTTAGACAGTTGTAGGCAAATAATGTTTAAAAGAATATATCGTAAAGTAATTTGTAAACATGTTAATTATGAGCTATAAACAGCAAGTAGTTCGTGCATTTTTCTGAGAAGGTTTGAACAAATTTCAAACAAATATACTATATTGTGGGTGAGCAGTCACCAGTTTATAAATAAACGAGTTGGTTATATTGATAATTTTGAAACTTCATATAGCAGTTGGAGCTTGAATGCAGTGTTAATTAGTTCTTTTGATGTGCCATTGGTATGCAAGGGTAATGTTCCTTTTTACTTTGTTCCAATTCAAACAAGCCCTGCAAATTGATAAGTTAATTGTCTCCCTTTAATAGGTTCATTATTTCACTTTTACAAATAGTAATTTGATTGCATTTTTAATCATTAAAAAATTGGTAAAATTTAATAGATTTTAGTATTTATAATTCGTTAATAAAAGACATTTATTCATATTTGTAAATGTTTTTTTTTAATTTGTTTTGAAACGTATAAAAATATTATATACCAATATAAAGGACTTTTCAAAACTTAAAGATAGGGCATCTGCCACAAACTTATCTTGCGATTGTTAATTCTTTTCTTAATTCTGTAGCTCATTAAAAATTATGTCTATTGTTTACATTTAATTTTATCAGAGACATATATACGTGGGGGAATCCATGACAAATCGCCCCACTGGCAAATCGCCCCACACCTAATCGCCCCACTTTTTCACCAACTCGCCCCACTTCCTAAAAAATCGCCCCACTCTTTGTTTACCAACTCGCCCCACTTATGAAAAGGGTAAAATCCCATTGAAAATAGGTTGGATAACTTGCCCCACTTATGAAAAGGGTTAAAATCCCGCTGAAACAATGTCTGCCAACTCGCCCCACTCATGACAAATAGATAAACCAGGATGAATTTAGTAATGCCAACTCGCCACACTTATGGAAAAAGATGCTATCCCGTTGTATATGTTCCTGCCACTAATAAATAAAATCAATACCTATGAAAACCTTAGATAAACATATTTTGTAATTCTTTTCTTTTTGTTTAAATAAAGCAGTAAGAAGTGAGTATCAGTATTTCGGTGACGTGAATGTCAACTCGCCCCACTTGTGAAAAATAGAAAAATCCTGATGAATTGAGTTATGCCAACTCGCCCCACTTATGAAAAATAGGAAAATCCTAATATTGAGTCATGCCAGCAAATGAGTGAAGGTCTTCCAATTCGCCCCACTTATGAAAACGTTAGAAATGCATCTTTTTTTTTTGTTCTTTTCTTTTGGTTGAAATAAAACAGAAAGAAAGTAGCATCAGCATTTATGTGACGTTTTTTTCCTGGTATATATTCAATGTTTTATTAGATAAGTCAAGAATCATGTGTGTTTACAATAACATAATTTTATTCTCAGATGATAGGTTTGCACATCTACGTAAGTATGCATAACAATAACATTTAAAAAAACATACATTAAATCAATTATGACAAGCACTGGCATGATAACATATTAAAAAGAAGTACTAGATGAAATGTCAGCACTAGAAACAAGAACATGAATACATGAATACATTGTCATTAGAAAGATCAGTAGCTGTCTGCTTCCACGACTCGACCGTTGACACGACCACACTGGCGTAAGAGTCTGGTTGTAGATATGCTGCCTGCAACTTGATATACTGCTCCCACATGTTGAATAGGATGGCTTGGTTAGTGCGGGCTTGCTTGCGCTGTTATTCTGTGTAGATTAGTTTTCATTAAGTGGGGCGAGTTGGCAGACATAAAAATTATATATTCATCTAGATTTTACCGTTTTTCATTAAGTGGGGCGAGTTGGCAGGAGTAATATAAACGGGATTTAACCCTTTTCACAAGTGGGGCGATTTTTTAAAAAGTGGGGCGAGTTGGTAAACCAGTTTGGGGCGATTTTTTTAAAAGTGGGGCGAGTTGGTGAAAAAGTGGGGCGATTAGGTGTGGGGCAATTTGCCAGTGGGGCGATTTGTTCTGCTTCCTACGTGGGGATATATGTTTCTGATTTTATGTACATTAATTAGGGGTATTAAATTTGTTACACTTTCCCATCTGTAGTCATTCTGTAAGTGTGGGTCTGGAATAAAATATTTTAAGTTGTTGTCCGCATCCCCGAATCTCCAGCAGCAATGATCCTGCTACTTGTAAAAGCATACATTTTTTTTAAGATTGTGTATATTACAGTGTTAGAATTTAAATGAAGCAGATTATTTGCTCGCCTTGATTCCCTAAAGACATGTGCATGTATGCTTTGTAACCCCCCCCCCCCCACACACACACACACACACACAGATACAGACACACAAACATCGTGATACCACATCCGCAACTTTCCCAAAAAATTCAAATATATGTCAAAAGTTTAAGTGAGAAATTATGAACGAAATCTATATTAAGCATTTGAGCTTTTTTGAAAATGACTATATATGATAAGCCAAATTTGATTATCTCTCCCAGAGACATATATACACAGAGATTGGCAACTGTAACAGTGGTCAGCGAAATCCAATTAAAAACACGCATCACACGAGACTTTAACGAGATCGCCATTTTGCATCTGATCATGACAAGTTCACCACCGCTTCGATTTTTATTTTACATCAAGCTTTTCAAAACAGCATAATGTAAGTATATATTTCAATTTCGTAAATTATTTACCATGTTTTATTCAGTTTGTAGTAATTGTTAGTTAAAATATTGTGACGATTAACGTTTTATTGTGGTCAATAATAAGGGCAAAGCTTGGCCGACATGGACGTTATGAAAATTGTTTACACGGACGTATTTTTTATTAAAACCTTTTCATTCGAAAAGGAATAAAACCATTTATGAGATGAATAACTTTTCCCAAGACATACTGGTTTTGTGTAAATATGTTGAATTTTTCATTAAATCACCCACTTTGATGCAATTTACAATTAAAATTCAGTATTCTCGTTGTCGGCCACGTTCAATTTTTAAAATATAAAGACAGGCCCCTGTCCATGTCTACAGTCAATAAACTTTTCCATCTTTAGAGAAAAAATATTCCCAGCACTTGAATTACTTTCTTATGACATACTGGATTTGTGTATAACAGTTGTTTTTTCCATATTTTTACCCACTTTGATGCAATTTACAATTAAAAATGACCATTCAAGCTGTCGGCCATTTTCATTCTCTTCAATATAAAGACAGGCCCCTGTCCATGTCTACAGTCAATAAACTTTTCCATCTTTAGAGAATAATTATTCCCAGCACATGAATTACTTTCTTATGACATACTGGATTTGTGTATAACAGTTGTTTTTTTCCATATTTTCACCAGCTTTGATGCAATTTACAATTAAAAATGACCATTCAAGCTGTCGGCCATTTTCATTCTCTTCAATATAAAGACAGGCCCCTGTCCATGTCTACAGTCAATAAACTTTTCCATCTTTAGAGAATAATTATTCCCAGCACATGAATTACTTTCTTATGACATACTGGATTTGTATATAACAGTTGTTTTTTTCATATTTTCACCAGCTTTGATGCAATTTACAATTAAAAATGACCATTCAAGCTGTCGGCCATTTTCATTCTCTTCAATATAAAGGCAGGCACCTGTCCATGGCTACAGTTTATAAAATTGTCCATCTTTAAAGAACAAATGTACCCATCACCATTGATCACAGGAATTACTTTCCCAAGACATACCGGTTTTGTGTATATAAATTGTTTTTTTCATTATTTCCACCACTTTGATGACATTTACAAGTTTATATACATGTATATTTACATTCAGTATCTGACAGCATTTTTTTTTTAACAGGATCCTGCATGTTATAAAAGAACAAAGATGTTGATCAAATTAACCTAACAGTGCAGCATACAAGAGATGTAATATCATACATGTGCTGAATGTAGGACTCCCTAGCCTTTCTGATTGAAAAAAAGATTCCCTGGCAGACAGGAACAACTATTAGTGATGACTTTTTTCAAATGTTACTGCACAGTCATGTAGTGGACCTATTACATGTACTACTATCAATGTGATACTAAAAAATGGTTTTGTAAGAGAGAAAATGACATGTGCTTATCCTGACTGTGAAAACACCACATTATTGTAGTTCAAATATCATAGTTCATATGCCAAACTTGATGTACATGTGTATGCGATTTTTGTGCAAGTGATGGTGACATCATTGAACTAAGAATAAATACAAGACTCCGCATTCAATCTATTGAATTTGAAACAGAAGTGGCAGTTGTGCAGAGACTATACGGATAAAAATGCAAATAAATATCTTGTGTTCAACTTCATTTGTCTTCTTTACGTTTACAAAGTATACATGTACATAATTTTTATACGACCGCAAAAAAATTGTTGTGGTCGTATATTGGTATGACGTTGGCGTCGTCGTCGTCGTCGTCCGAAGACGCATTAGTTTTCGCACTCTAACTTTAGTTTAAGTGAATGGATCTCTATGAAATTTTACCATAAGGTTCAATACCATAAAATGAAGGTGGGGATTGATTTTGGGGGTTATGGTACCAACAGTTAAGGAATTAGGGGCCAAAAATAAGCATTTTCTAGTTTCCAGACAATAACTGTGGAACGGTGTATGGATCTCTCTGAAATTATACTACAAGTTTCCATACCACAAAGGGATGGTTAGGATTTGCTTTGGGGGGTTATTGCTCAAACCGTTTAAGAATTAGGGGCAAAAAAGGGGGAAAAACAAGGTTGTCCTCATTAATGGACAAATACTTTAGTACAAAACATAATTTAAAGCAGTGTAAGGGAGATAAATCAAATACATCATTGAAATTATCTCCCTTACACTGCTTTTAAATTATGTATAAAGTAATGGTTAATGAACAATTAAGATAATTTAAAACAGTGAAAGGGAGGTAATCCAAATACAACGTTTTGGTTACTTCCCTTACACTGCTTTTAAATTATGTTTAAAGAAATGCATATTTATAAAGGAAGACCAGTATGGCGCATTAGATTTGTAAAATCTTTGACCACATTTATTTATTTGTTATGCCGAATCTAACCGTGTATTTAGATTTTTAATTTTGGGTCCAGTTTTCAAATTGGTCTACATTAAGGTCCAAAGGGTCCAAAATTAAACTTTGTTTGATTTTAACAAAAATTGAATATATGGGGTTCTTTGATATGCTGAATCTAAACATGTATTTAGATTTTTGATTTTTGGCCCAGTTTTCAAGTTGGTCCAAATTGGGGTCCAAAATTAAACTTTGTTTGATTTCAACAAAAATTGAATATATGGGGTTCTTTGATATGCTGAATCTAACCATGTATTTAGATTTTTTATTTGTGGACCCCGCTATCAAATTGGTTCATATTGAGGTCAAAAGGGTCCAAAATTAAACTTTGTTTGATTTCATCAAAAATTGAATTATTGGGGTTCTTTGATATGCCAAATCTAACCGTGAATTTAGATTTTTAATTTTGGGTCCCGTTTTTTAAATTGGTCTACATTAAGGTCCAAAGGGTCCAAAATTAAACTTAGTTTGATTTTAACAAAAATTGAATTCTTGGGGTTCTTTGATATGCTGAATCTAAACATGTGTTTAGATTTTTGATTATGGGCCCAGTTTTCAAGTTGGTCCAAGTTGGGGTCCAAAATTAAACTTTGTTTGATTTCAACAAAAATTGAATATATGGGGTTCTTTGATATGCTGAATCTAAACATGTATTTAGATTTTTTATTTGTGGGCCCGCTATCAAATTGGTTCATATTGAGGTCAAAAGGGTCCAAAATTAAACTTTGTTTGATTTCATCAAAAATTGAATTATTGGGGTTCTTTGATATGCCAAATCTAACCGTGTTTTTAGATTTTTAATTTTGGGTCCCGTTTTTTTAAATTGGTCTACATTAAGGTCCAAAGGGTCCAAAATTAAACTTAGTTTGATTTTAACAAAAATTGAATTTTTGAGGTACTTTGATATGCTGAATCTAAACATGTGTTGAGATTTTTGATTTTTGGCCCAGTTTTCAAGTTTGTCCAAGTTGGGGTCCAAAATTAAACTTGGTTTGATTTCAACAAAAATTGAATATATTGGGTTCTTTGATATGCTGAATCTAACCATGTATTTTGATTTTGGACATTTGACCATAATAGGTAAATTAAAAAAATTGAAGTTCTTAGATCACATTCTTTCTGTGTCAGAAACCTATGCTGTGTCAAATATTTAATCACAATCTAAATTCAGAGCTGTATCAAGCTTGAATGTTGTGTCCATACTTGCCCCAACTGTTCAGGTATATACTGTGTATATATGTCTCTGTCTCTCCATACTGATAAAATGTTTAAAAATTTACTGAGAGTTGTTTTACATAAATCACAGAGAGTGTTTTCTACACAATTTTGATTTGGAACAAAATGAATGTTACTTTATTCAAAAATAAGGACTTAGTTTTCCAAATCTACTAACTATTTTTTTGGGGATATTGTGAATTTTTTAATGACAATAAATAAAAATGCTAAATAATTGCAAAGGTCAAAATCTAGAACGTCAAATTTACTTTTGACCTTGAACTTAATTTCGAACTTGAACTTAAATGAACAGCCTTAGGTGCTGTGTGCAAATTTTTGTAGGTCACGTGGTACGATTTTAGCGTCCCTCGACAGTTTTGAATCTGGAAAAGATCGATTTGTTCATGTTTTTATATCAAATATACTCTCTTGCACTCGCAGAAAATATAGAAAGTTTTGAAATAAAAAGATGATAGAAGATCACTTTATATAAAATATTTTCTTTATGTTTTTTATCTTTAAAGTAAATTCTATCAATAAAGAAATGCACTGTAATGGCGGGAAATTTTATTCGATCTCTGCGAAATCACGAGGCACAGATTTTTGTAAATTTTACAAATGTCAGCACGTGAAAATCATTCAAATTTATGTCAATCAAAGAACACTATTCGAACATTCTAAATTATGGAAAGCCTCAGCTGTCATATATTAGAGATTTACAAAACGTTATGCTGAAGCTTAAAATGTAAAGTTAAGACAGCGTGATGTTGAATTGAGTCATCAAAATGCTAACTCTAAATTACAATATGCTAAGTTGAATTTGCGCAATGTTGACTTGCAATGACAAGTGCTTTAGTCGTGATAGAATAATGATAAGTCACGATGTTGTGATGATATGCCAAACACACGTAACGTTGGGTTTAAAGTACATGATGTGAAGTTGACGTTGCATGATGTTAGCTTGCAGATGGATACTGCTCAGTCGTCCACTTCGATAGCTATGATAACAAATAAAATGAATAGCTAAAATGTATGGTGCTGACTTGTTATTAATAAATGTTGAGCTGAGATAGTACGATGTTATATCATTGTGATATTACGATAGGTCTATCATGCAATCTGTTGATTTAAAACACCATGATGCACAGTTGAAAGTACATGATGTTAAGTTAAGATAACATGATGCTACACCACTATATTGAAACGAAAGGCTTACCATACAATTTGTTGACTTAAAACAACACGATACAACGTGTTAAGCTAAGATGCTCACTTGAAACTACATGACGTACAGTTGAAATTTTGTAATGTTAAGCTACGATAGCACGATGTTATATCATTATAATGTCACAATAGGCTTATTATACAATTTGCTCATTTAAAATTACACCACGTACAACTGAAAGTACGTGATGTTAAGCTAAGATAGAACGTTGTTATATCATAAGAATGTCACGATAGGCTTACCACACGATATGCTCACATACACAAGAATTGCGGACAGCTCAGCTGGATAGCTTTATCAGCTACCACACAGAGAACCGTAATCATTGAAATTTTTTTAACGTTATTGTCTATGGGGAATTATGACCACTAGCTAAATAAATGAATACTATGTCTATTTTATAAATCTCATATAAAATTAATAAATTATAGAGATCTCACCAATTTTTTAGCTTTGAAATGGTGTAATAAAATCCACTTTATCTTGATATTTACTGGTGTCCCTATCATGTTGAACGTCGGGTTCTCTTTTGGTTGAGATATGTTTAATTACGAGGTATACATATTAAATTCATTTTTTATTGTAAATCAAATTAACAAATTATACAGTATTGGCATATAATTTTCCTATCAAATGGTATAAGAATCGTCATTTTAAAATAATGTTTACTGTTGTCCCTAAGCATTTGAAAGTGAAACTTCATTATTTATGAATACGATGTATATTCATTCAACTAAGATTGACCGTATTCAAAGACAAATTGGTCTTGTTATTTAGTTGAATTCTCATTTTTATGATGTGAACTTCTTTTCTAATTACATCCATCATTTTAAATATCTAGTTAGGTTTTAAACAATATATTAATTTCTATTATACCAAAGAGTTCTTTAAACATCAAAATTTTAAAAGTAGTGTGGTTTTGTTGACATCTTGAAGAAAAATATGCAAAAGTGTTGGAGTTTTTTTCGTTTTTTTTAAAGGCTCTGTCTAATTAATCTTATTTTGATTTGAGTAATTATACTATTATTATCAAATATTTGAATACACAATTGCATGATTGTATTATTGAAAAAAAATGTCTACGAAAGCTGAAAAACTACTAAGTAAATTGAAATAGAAAAGATGACAACGTGCAATTTTTAATGTTATTCAAAACATACAAAATTTTATACAAGTTTTGTATAATGAAAAGGTATAGGGAATATTATTCTTATCATTATAAGAAATGATCAGAGAAGTAAATGCAAGTATTTTGAATGTATACAGTAAGATATCATAGCATCAAAATCATTGTTAGGATATGCTATCTTTATGTTCTCCTTCATACATTAATCTTATTGTTTAGTACAAGGATTTGTATAGTACTATACAAATCCTTGTTTAGTATATTCATAAAATGTCGTTTAATAATACAAATGACGGAAAACATCGAGGTCCTTTTTAAGAAAAGCTCCATAATTATCGATCTTAGCTAACATATAAACACGAATGTGTCAATATTTACATAGTATATTGTTTAAGCGTCCCCGGTGCGGTATCACTATTCAATACCATATGTTACTATTTAATCTTATCATTGAAGTATTATATTGAAAATATAGTAGTCCATGCTAAAGAGATTGTTGGGAGACCCCCTTTTTTTATTTTTTGCAGTAAATTTATAATTTGAAAATAGTCTTTTCACATCAACTTTTTTACCTTGTCTTAAGTGTTCAAACTCTTATCAATGCGATTTAACAATAATAATTTATGTATTTTGCCCTCTATTTTTATGTTTAAATGTTTAAGAGTATTCTACACATAAGAATATAGGGTAACACATATAAACTAATTTTATAAAGTAAAAAAAAAAAATTGAGATACGGCTGAAATATGAACGAATATTTTCAAATAAGATTAATTACAACAAAAAAATAATTATAAAATTAACTAGACAAAGTGATGCCCCGCACTTCACTCTGAAGTAACTGTATCATAACAAAGATAATGTAGAACTTTATCTGAGATTTAATTGTGTCTGGGAGAAACAAATGATGCCCCCGCAGATGCAAAGTGTTATTTTAAAATAACTTCAACTATCTCCCAAAAGAGCAAATATTAAACCCTGACCACATGCACACCTTCAATATATGTACAAACCACTAAATTTTAAGGAGAAAGTCTGCGGTTTTATTTACTGATATCTATGTCTAATTAAGGGTAGTGAATTATGTAAGTTTTATGTTCCTAGAGGACAGGAAAATATTACAATTTAATCCACAGGTGTTAATGAGTTTACGTGTTACATAGATCAAATAAAATTCAGCATGGAGTATACATCTGGCTTATACAATGTCAATGTCACCTACCCATATCAAATAAAATCTAACATTGACAGTAAAAAAATGTACATCTTGTCATATTTATGATATTGCCTTCTGTAGCTTTTATTTATATGTTTATGAGATTTCAACCCTCCCTCTATACCTCTAGCCTATGTAGAATAAACAAAACACAGCAATAAGCACAGTAAAACTCAGTTTAAAAGAAGTCCGAGTCCGATGTCAGAATAGATAACAAAAGTCTTTTAAGACACTAATCAAAATGGCAATGATACATGATAAATTAACTAAAGGACTACTACAGCAATAA